GGTGGTGGTGTGATGGTGGTAGTGGTGATGGTGGTGGTGTGATGGTGGTAGTGGTGATGGTGGTGGTGATGGGGGGTGGTAGTGATGGTGGTTGTAGTGGTGGGGGTTTGGTGAGATGATGGTGGGGGTGTTGGTGGTGGTGTGAGTGGTGGAGGTGGTGGGTGTAGTGATGACGTTACTGTGTACTGACGGCTGCTGACGCTTCTGGGTACTCCTGCTGACGAGTACTGGCGGCTGTCAGGTAACTTTCCACTCAAAACTCATTAGTGTACAAGTATTGCCATATATTACAAGTGTACTTAGTTTACCTTACTGGTGCATCAACACAGAGCTAGTGACACGTTTATACTGGTGTCAGGGCAGAGTTGAAGTCAAGTTACATTTATTAATTAACTTCTTATAGTTTACTCACCTACAGTCACTCAAAAACTATCTATACAAAATTGTATTGAAAAATATGACACAAAGGACGGAGGATTTTGACAACCCTACCGAGACAACAGAAGTCATAGTGTTCATTGTGGAACTCATCGATCACCCCAAGTACAGATAGTTTTGTGAGTGACTGTACCTCTAGTTTACGTTAAGTTGTTTTGGCAAACTTTTAGTATGTAATCAATGATGGTTTACAACATCTCGTCTTATTATGAGTCACTCCAGGAAAACATTGTATGGAGAAAAACTTGTTTCTTGCATGTCTAATATTAATTAATGTTTGGAGGAGTTAAAGGAAGGGAACGGAATTGTGGGGAACGTCCTGGTGTTAATAATACGTATAGCAATGATGAGCTGGGTGCCAGAGAGCAGTGTGCCAAGGTCTGTTCCGTCAATATATCAGTTGCTGGTCATTATCCCATACAAATATTTACAGACGCCGCCAAATGCATCATAGAGAGCATAGACTGATACATTATTCTTCTCCATACAGTAAATGCTTCGGGTTCACGAGTCTGAATCTCTCGGGGGTTCGTTGTTCAGGAGGAGAGGCGACCAAGAGGACTTTAGTAGTTGACTGATCATGGATTTACTACGGTATACAGAGTCTCAGGGGTGTATCATTTTATAGCGATAATTTGTGTTTTATATAACATCAACATCAGATGGATTATGTTATTTTTATGAGAGTTTTTCACCTAAGAACCCTTGAGAATCTTAAACCAGGATCAATAGACGTTAAATACGAGACTAATAAAGTGATGATAGTGGTGGTGGAGGTGGTGGTGGTGGTTGTAGTGGTGGTGGTGGTGATAGTGGTGGTAGTGGTGGCTTGGTCGGGAGTCGCTGTGGTCGGCCGCACTTACCACGGCAACACACCACCATGGGACGACCCGGCCACGACACAGCCAGCGGAGATCAAGAGTAACTTAACCTAACTAGATGGGTTAATGTAGCGACTTAGGGCGTGTCAAGCCTCGGCACCTGCGTCCTGTTTACTGCTGGGTGGTGTAGGAGCTGTTGGGGTTATGTTTACTCTTATAAAAGTATACAGACACACAGAGTAGACACACACAGAGATACAGACACACACAGAGATACAGACACACACAGACATACACAGACACACACTGTACACAACCACATGCACATTTTATTACAGGTAAAATTAAACGATGTTAAAGTATTTAGTGAACACCAGACCATTTTATTGAGCTGAGAGGCGACCTGTACACAAGGGGTTAACACTCTACATCACCGCTAACGTGTCCTGCTCACCAAACTTGTACATAAAACTCGTACATTAATTTTCCAAGAAGAGAGTTAAACCATGGATGAGAATCTTGTAATAATTATTGTAATATTAAAGTAAAAAAGCCTCGACTTATATTCTGTGTACCACATTTTGTTTTAATATATTCTCTATTACTTGTGGGTTATAAAGTATTACTACATAATTTACTGAAAAAGACAGACCCTGAGACGGGAATGATGATTGACGATCAGGAGTCAAAATTATATGCGCCGAGGAACTTTTTTTTTTTATGGTCAGAATAACGATAGAAATTCACTCTCTCTTAAATAAAATTATAGACGTATTTAGTAACGCTAGGAAGTCAAATTTGTTCCAATTACTTACGAGGTGAAAAATTCTTTGAGTTTGCGGCATTATGATAAAACTTTTGATAATTTGTAAGAAACTTCAACAGGTGTTTAATTATGTTGTATTGGTGAAGTGTGTAGCTTGTACCGGATATAGTTCAGGAGGGTCAGAGGGAGAGGGAAGAGGAAGAGGAGGGTGAGGAAGAAAGAAGAGGAGGGAGAAGGCAGGACTTTTTTGGAACAATTGAATTTCGCCAATGTCTGAACAAACAAAACACAACACACTGTAAATCACTTTAAGCCTTACATTACATTCGTGCTAATTCCTCCCGTCGCCCCACAGCAACACTTGGACGCTTCGGGTTTTTATTTTCCCTGTTTGATGTTCCCTGCAACAGTGAAGGAGCGAGTGCCAATTTCTCCCGCAGGCTCACAAGAACAATACTTTACACACCTCAATTTTTTATTCCTGGATCGATCCTTGATGTTCCCTGCAGCAATGGTGTTTGATGTTCCCTGGACGTGTGGTGATCGGTGTTTGATGTTTCCTGCAGCCTCGGTGTTTGATGTTTCTTGGGCCGTCTGTGTCGGTGTTTGATGTTTCTGGGCGCGCGTCTGTGATCGGGTTTGATGTTCCTGTGGGGTCGGTGATCGGTGTTGATGTTCCTGGACGCGTCGGTGTCCGTGTTTGATGTTCCCTGGACGTGTCGGTGAATCGGTGTTTGATGTTCCCTGGACGTGTCGGTGTCGGTGTTTGATGTTCCTGGACGCGTCGGTGTCGGTGTTTGATGTTCCCTGGACGTGCCGGTGATCGGTGTTTGATTTCCTGGACGTGTCGGTGATCGGTGTTTGATGTTCCTGGACGTGTCGGTGATCGGTGTTTGATGTTCCCTGGCGCGTGGGGTGATCGGTGTTTGATGTTCCCTGGACGTGTCGGTGATCGGTGTTTGATGTTCCCTGACGCGTCGGTGACCGGTGTTTGATGTTCCTGGACGTGTCGGTGATCGGTGTTTGATGTTCCCTGGACGTGTCGGTGTTCGGTGTTTGATGTTCCTGGACGCGTCGGTGATCGGTGTTTGATGTTCCTGGACGTGTCTGTGATCGGTGTTTGATGTTCCCTGGACGTGTCGGTGAATCGGTGTTTGATGTTCCCTGGACCTGTCGGTGATCGGTTTGATGTTCCCTGGACGTGTCGGTGAATCGGTGTTTGATGTTCCCTGGACGTGTCGGTGATCGGTGTTGATGTTCCCTGGACGTGTCGGTGAATCGGTGTTTGATGTTCCCTGGACGTGTCAGTGATTGGTGTTTGATGTTCCCTGGACGTGTCTGTGATCGGTGTTTGATGTTCCCTGGACGTGTCGGTTATCGGTGTTTGATGTTCCCTGGACGTGTCAGTGATCGGTGTTTGATGTTCCTGGACGTGTCGGTGTCGGTGTTTGATGTTCCTGGACGTCCGGTGAATCGGTGTTTGATGTTCCCTGGACGTGTCGGTGATCGGTGTTTGATGTTCCCTGGCGTGTCCGTGATCGGTGTTTGATGTTCCATGGGCCGTCGGTGATCGGTGTTGATGTTCCCTGGCGTGTCGGTGAATGGTGTTTGATATTCCTGGACGCGTCGGTGATGGTGTTGATGTTCCCTGGACGTGTGGTGATCGGTGTTTGATGTTCCTGGTCGGTTGTCGGTGTTTGATGTTCCCTGGACGGCGTCGGTTGATCGGTGTTTGATGTTCCTGGACGTGTCGGTGATCCGTGTTTGATGTTCCTGGACGTGTCGGTGATCGGTGTTTGATGTTCCCTGGACGTGTCGGTGATCGGTGTTTGATGTTCCCTGGACGTGTCGGTGATCGGTGTTTGATGTTCCCTGGACGTGTCGGTGATCGGTGTTTGATGTTCCCTGGACGTGTGCAGTGATTGGTGTTTGATGTTCCCTGGACGTGTCGGTGTCGATTGTTTGATGTTCCCTGGACGTGTCGGTGAATCGGTGTTTGATATTCCCTGGACGTGTCGTGATCGGTGTTTGATGTTCCTGGACGTGTCGGTGATCGGTGTTTGATGTTCCCTGGACGTGTCAGTGATTGGTGTTTGATGTTCCCTGGGCGTGTCAGTGATCGGTGTTTGATGTTCCCTGGACGTGTCGGTGAATCGGTGTTTGATGTTCCTGGGCGTCAGTGATCGTGTTTGATGTTCCTGGGCGGCGTCAGTGATGGTGTTTGATGTTCCCTGGGCCGGGTGATCCGTGTTTGATGTTCCCTGGACGCGTCAGTGATTGGTGTTTGATGTTCCCTGGACGCGTCGGTGATCCGTGTTTGATGTTCCTGGGCGCGTCGGTGATCGGTGTTTGATGTTCCTGGCGTGTGTCGGTGTTTGATGTTCCTGGCGTGTCGGTGATTGTGTTTGATGTTCCTGGCGTGTCGGTGATCGGTGTTTGATGTTCCCTGGACGTGTCAGTGATCGGTGTTTGATGTTCCCTGGCGTGTGGTGATCGGTGTTTGATGTTCCTGGGCGTGTGGTGATCGGTGTTTGATGTTCCTGGACGCGTCAGTGATCGGTGTTTGATGTTCCCTGGACGTGTCGGTGATTGGTGTTTGATGTTCCTGGCGCGTCGGTGATCCGTGTTGATGTTCCCTGGACGGCGTCTGTGATCGGTGTTTGATATTCCTGGGCAGCGCAGTGATCGGTGTTTGATTTCTGGCTGTGTTGTGTCTGGCGTGTCGGTGATCGGTGTTTGATGTTCCTGGCGTGTGGTGATTGGTGTTTGATGTTCCCTGGGCGTGTAGGTGATCGGTGTTTGATGTTCCCTGGACGTGTCAGTGTTCGGTGTTTGATGTTCCCTGGACGTCGTGTCGGTGTTGATGTTCCTGGACGTGTCGGTGTCGGTGTTTGATGTTCCTGGACGCGTCAGTGATCGGTGTTTGATGTTCCCTGGCGTGTCGGTGATCGGTGTTTGATGTTCCCTGGACGTTAGTAATCGGTGTTTGATGTTCCTGATGTCGGTGTCCGGTGTTTGATGTTCCCTGGACGTGTCAGTGATCTGTGTTTGATGTTCCTGGACGTGTCAGTGATCGGTGTTTGATGTTCCCTGGACGTGTCGGTGATCGGTGTTTGATGTTCCCTGGACGTGTCTGTGATTGGTGTTTGATGTTCCCTGGACGTGTCTGTGATCGGTGTTTGATGTTCCCTGGACGTGTCGGTGTCGGTGTTTGATGTTCCCTGGACGTGTCGGTGTCGGTGTTTGATGTTCCCTGGACGTGTCGGTGATCGTTGTTTGATGTTCCCTGGACGTGTCAGTGATCGGTGTTTGATGTTCCCTGGACGTGTCAGTGATCGGTGTTTGATGTTCCCTGGACGTGTCCGTGATTGGTGTTTGATGTTCCCTGGGCCGTGGTGTCGGTGTTTGATGTTCCTGGACTGTCGGTGATGGTGTTTGATGTTCCTGGACGCGTCGGTGATCGGTGTTTGATGTTCCTGAGACGTGCCGGTGATCGGTGTTTGATGTTCCCTGGACGTGTCTGTGATCTGTGAGGCAGCCACCAGCACGCACCGTCAAGTTATATAAGTTCATAAAGGTTTACACGCGGCTATAAATTACACGAGCATGAGCTGTGAACGGAAGCAGAAGACGACGACACATGACTTACGACAACGACGCCTGACGATGTCGCTCCCTCCCTCCCTCCCAACGCTAGTCAAATTAGTGTTGTCTATCCTACTAGCCCTCGCCCCTTGCCCTGCCTCTCCTCGTCCCCGACTCGCCTCGTCGCGTCACGTCCTCGCCTTGCCTCGCCCTCGCCTCACCCTCGCCTCGCCCTCGCCTCGCCCTCGCCTCACCCTCGTCTCGCCCTCGCCTCGCCCTCGCCTCGCCCTCGCCTCGCCCTCGCGCCACCTTGCTGACGACTGTCCCACGCACAGTACTGTCAGGCTGGTGGTGGCCATCTTGTGAAGGTGGTCACTTATTTCGTGAGGGTGATGGCCTTATTTTTAGGATGGTGGCCATGTTGTAAGATAGTGGCCATGTGTGAAGATGATTATGTGGTAATATAATGGCTTGAGTACACACGTCCCAGACACACACACAGTGAGTATATAATCAGAGAAGGTATATATAAGAACCTCTTATTGTAGAGACCAAGGGGGAGAGGCTGATGGGAAGAAGTGAGACAGTGAGGAGGAGAGGGAAAGAGGGAGAGAGGGAGAAGAGGGGAAGGAGGAGGACGGTCAGAGTGAGAGGGAAGAGGAGGAGGAGGAGGAGGAAGAGGGTCAGAGTGAGGGTGATGAGAGGAGGAGGAGGAGATGGGGGGTGATGGTGAGGAGGAGGGGGAGAGGGTCGAGGAGGGTGATGATGAGGAGGAGGGGAGGGGGAAGAGGGTCAGAGGAAAGGGAAGAGGAGGAGGAGGAGGAAGAGGGTCAGAGTGAGGGTGATGATGAGGAGGGGGGGAGGGGGGGGGAGGGGGCAGAGTGAGGGTGATGATGAGGAGGAGGGAGGAGGGAAGAGGGTCAGAGTGAGGGTGATGATGAGGAGGAGGGAGGAGGAGGAGGAAGAGGGTCAGAGTGAGGGTGATGATGAGGAGGAGGAGGGGGGGGGGGGTGAGGAGGAGGAGGAGGGGAGGGGTCGAGGAGGTGATGATGAGGAGGAGGGAGAGGGAAGAGGGTCAGAGTGAAAGGGGGAGGGAGGAGGAGGAGGGAAGAGGTCAGGAGGGGGTGATGACGAGGAGGAGGAGGGAAGAGGGTCAGAGTGAGGGTGATGAGGAGGAGGAGGAGGGAGCAGGACCTGTCAGCAGCTCGTGTAACAACAAGTCCTCCTGCCCCAGCATCCGACACTGCCAGTGATACCTGCCTGTCACGCAGGTCCTGCGGGCCCCTGTGTGTGTGTTATTTGTCTCACTTGTCTACCAGCTTCTAAGCCTTACCTGTGTGTGTCTGTCACTTGTGTATCTCAGCTTTGCCTCAGTGTGGGTGTGCTAGGGGATGTGCAGGAGTGTACAGTATGTTTGGAGGGGTGACTGGGGAGGGATGTGTGATAGAGGGCGGTGTTTGTGTGAGGGGAAAGGGGAGAGTGTGTAAGGGGAAGGGGTGGGTGTGAGGTTAGGTTAGGTTAAGTTAGGTCAGCTGTTAGGAGGTTGCATAGCCAGGTAAGGTCTTGCAGCTCACATGAACGACTGACATTTCAAAATGATGATTCATATAGGACTGTGGAAGGAAAGAATTGGGACACACACACACACACACACACACACACACACACACACACACACGCACACAATATGGTCAAACCTGAAGTCAAATCAAGCTGCACTTTATCACTCGTGTCCACCAAAACACACACACATATTCCAGAGACACATTACCAAAAAAACACACAAAAACTGGAGGAGATTTAGAGATGGCTTGGAGGAGTGCCGTGCCCTGGAGGAACCGGTCGTCACTTGATCTCCCCGTCACCCGACTGGAGGAGTAGGAGGAGGAGTAGGAGGCGGCAGAGGCAGAGATCTCCATCAGCGAAGAGAACTTTATGCATCTCTCCCGCGAGTAAACAAACACTGGGCCAGTCGACACCAGCGTGTGTGTACACTCACGGCCACCACAACTTTTGTTTCCGGGACCAGCCAGCCTTGTTGTTATTGTCCACTGTATCTGTATTTTTCTGGCTAAATAAACCATTTCAGTATCAAGGGTGAGGCAAGAGTCACTGATGAACACATCCCTGGGGTTCCTTACACACGCACTAACATATCAATTGACCATCTTCACAGCCTTACCTATTTATATCTCTTCTTGACCGCAGAAATATGACTAACTTACTGTGTAGTTAATGCCTTGTACAGTATATAATGTTAACTTTAGAGGTGCATTTAAAGATCTTATATTCCTTGAAGTCGACGAGGCCGTTTGGGTGATTAGACAACTGCATTAGTCTGATCTTTCACTTTATTTATTTTGTGTTAAAAAGAATAATACATCAATATTGTTGCCTTCCTTAGTAATATAATATTTACCCATGAGTGTAAACATTATCTGCTGCTTCAGTCATATCATAAAGTTGTCCCGGTTGTCTCCTCTTGCGCAGTCCATCAGTCTTTTATTCTTTCTTTATGTAAACATCACCTCAGTATCTCTCGGCCACGTCATCACTGGAATCGCTCTCCAATCCGGTATCAGGGCTGGTCTTTTTTATCAGCCGGCCAACAACGCTTGTTCTAATATTACTCAACACAATGCTGGGTGGTGATGTTACTCAGTCTAGTGATATCCTGCACCACTCTATTTTTTAACCTTAAGTCATTTTTTTTAAAGGTTTTACAGTCAAGTTTTACAAGTTAATATAAGTTCATTTGTCTTTTTATCGTTATTATTTTATTTTGTCGTTATCTTTCTTGGTTTATTATCGTTGTTATTATTAGAGCATTAGATTTAGTCACGTCTAACAATGTGTTCCAATCAGGCCTAAGTGACTCCAAGTGTACTGTAAGATAATCTAATGATTTTGGTGCGTGTGTGTAATAAAAATAAATATAAAAACATAAATAATAAATAAGAATAATAATTAACGGTTTATTGAAAGACCATGGCAGCCAGAAGGCTGAAAATTTACAGTTGCATAATTGGGGAATGGGTCTTTTGATTGACAAATAATATACAAGTAACATATGTGATACAAATATGATATATAACAACAAGGTGGAGAGAAGGTCATACTACAGGGCATTTCAACATTGTGACTGCAAGATTGAATGGGAGTGAATACACTGGTTTATTACAAGTTATTGATAATTTTTACAATGGTTGGGACTTGGCTGTTCGTATAGCGATCAGTACGTGCTCGTATGGGCTGGATGTGGTTGTGGTGTCGAACAGTAATTTGCGGAAGAGGGATCTCGGGTGGTAGTAGGAGCCGGGGTGGAAGATGGTGCAGAAGCTTCTCGCCAAATTTGCAGATGAGGTCGTGGCGATGATCAGAGAGCCGAGAGGGTCAGTGTGTTGAGCGTTTCTTGATATAAATATATAATAATAATTAACGGTTTATTGAAAAAATTCTGCTGCCCGAAGGCTGAAAATATCATTGGACATAAATGACTTATTACATACATTGGTGGTAACAAAAGCTTTCATTAGAAAGGTAAAGGAACATACAGTGAACATACAGATTAATGTAGGTGTTGAACAGCAAACTCGTGGTGTAATACTCCCTCCCAGATGGTGTTAGGAGGAACTCACGTGGTGTGGTAGTTCCCTCAGATGGTGTTATGAGGGACCTGGCGTGGTGTATTAATTCCCTCGCAGATGGTGTTATGAGGGGCCTCACGTGGTGTAGTAATTCCCATCAGATGGTGTTATGAGGGACCTCACGTGGTGTAGTAATTCCCCATCAGATGGTGTTATGAGGGACCTCGTGGTGTAGTAATTACCTCACAGATGGTGTTATATGAGTGAGGTTTGGTCCCAGCCTTCCTATCGTAGACGGATCACATCACTGGTTGTTGTTGGGTCTCACGGGCCGTTATCACTGGGTACCTGGGACCTCACTGTGTGAAGGTTAACTTGGGTACGACTGTTACTGTTGAGTTGTTCTCACTGACATAAGCACTGTTCACCTCTGTTTAACACTGGTTCCGTTCTTTCCCTAAATTAAATTGTAACTTCTGGCGAGAACTTGTTGATATTCCGGTGGGGAGGAGGGTTCAGGGGAGGGTTGGTATGGGCCAACAACAGTTGACCTGGCTGCTCCTCTCGGAGCAGCCAGGTACGTCTTGACCCTTCGGTGGTCAGGATATGTGTGTGTGTGTGTGTGTGTGTGAGTGCTCCCGTACATATCAGATTATCATAAAAATACCTTTACTATAAATCATTAGAGAACGATTTTCATAAGTCTTTGAAGATGAGAGCTAAAATGACTACTTTGCCACAGAAAGATCCGAGTTAGGTTAGGTTAGGTTAAGTCAGGTTAATTTAGGTTAGGTTAGATTAGTCGTTAAGAACAAAAATAACAAGTCCTATACTATAATCTAATTACCATCACACTGTCATACGTCCTGACAGCCTTGTGATGTGAGTTCAACAGTTTGCTTCACTGCCGGAGGAAGATAATGCCTACAGTAGAGTGGTTTATTAATTACGCGCAAAGTCCAATCGCCATAACAAAACCCGACACTTATCTTTTATACCAATGTAGTATTTCATAGCGTAAGAAAATTTCAACAGAACTTTAGAATTTTTTTTTCGATGACTACAACAGAGCTGTATGGGAGTGATGTTATCTCTGTACTACAACCTGCCTCGTGTACACTGGGAGACATAAACAGTTATTATCTTATTAAGTGGCGGGAGAAAAACTAAGACAGGTTATACCGAGAAATAAGATATGGGTCGATCTCTTCAGGGACGACAGCTTCCGTTACCTCTCCTCCGCTCCGTCGTGGTGGCCGACAGCTCTCACGTCACCATCACCCGACAGCTCTGACGTCACCTTCACCCGACAGTTCCGACGTCACCAATCACCCGACACCTCTCACGTCACTAATCACCCGACAGTTCTGACGTCACCAATCACCCGACAGCTCTGACGTC